CCATGAAGGCCTCATCCTGCCTCCCCCAAGCCCCTTCCCCGCCACAGACTTATCAGCAAGATGCTGCTCTCCAAGCTGCTGGGCTGCACTCCTGACCGCATGTGTGCTGCAGCTGCACGCATGCACACTGCATTTATCGGCAACATTATCCGCCAGATCAGCCAAAAAAAGCCAACTGCTGATAATGTTAATTTTCTTTTTATTGGTGCTGATATGATATGGTACCTCTAATTATGAGGCCACTGCCCTCTCAACAGTTTGCCAGAAGAAGCTGAAGACCTGCTTTTGACAACACCCTATGTTTGAATGAACAAAACAAAGATAGGAGCTATTGTATACGTTAGGTCTGTAGTTCAAAAGTCAACAAAGCTCAGAGTAGCAAAAATGTAGATCCCTCTTTTCACAAATCTAAAAGAATATAATGTGGCACCTACTTCTATTTTTGTATTTTGGGTGCGTTTGCTAGTCCAACCGTAGTGTGTAGTAATTTCTTTCTTTTTTTTTTTTTTTAATTAAAAAAGTAAGAATTTGGGATAGCATTTCACGCGTCTTAATTCATGCAGGTTTTCTCTGATGAGTAAAATTCAGTTAGGACACCATCATATTTGATGTTCTATCAATTGCAGTTACCATGAATAATTTTGATGAGGGATATTGATCACTTCCAAAGGAATTGGGATAACTGGAGTATGTGCATGTATGAATGTGTATTTCACTTATCAGTCAATGAAATGGTTGTGCTAATGATTACCATTAGAATGGGTCCCCTTCTGAGGAATAATTCAGAGATCTGATTACCGTAATTAAATAATACAGTTAACAAGGAAGAACAGTGAGCTGGACAAGTAAATGAAAATATAATGAACAATTTTCAGCAGCCACTAATGTATGAATTTCAAATCTGACACATGCTTTTTAATTAAAAATTACGTAGTATTTTTAAGTTCAAGATACCAGAGTTCCCTGGTCTCTGTCAGATCAAACAATTCAGATAAAAAAGAAATATGCAAGCTCAAGAAATAATAAAAAGGACTGTACAATAACAGACTTACTTCCTTGGAGTTTTGTGCCATTGTTTGTGTTTCGTATCAACTGAAATGCCTTTTGAAATCCTACCGCATGCTGGGTAGGGCTGTCAGATGACTTTATACTGCTAACGAAGGTGGACATCTTCCTTTTTGTCTCACTAGTGGCAGGAGACAGAAATGTCTTATAGCACTGATCCAGTGAGCAGGTTCTTACTGTGTCTGCCACGGTTAACACAGAGATCTTGAAAGAGAAGAAACTATATTGGATTACCTTGCCATTTATAATTCTTTACGTACCAATATAGCGCACAAAATGATAAGCCAACAGAAGAGTTTCTGTGGATTTAAAATTCAATTGTTAAAAAAATAAATGCTAGAGGCATAAATCCATCAAATTTGAAAAGGATTAGACTTATGGTGAGCAAGGAGAAAAAAAAAAAAAAGAGTCTTTGGTCTTTGTTTCTCAGATGAAGTCAGCTTCATTCAGCTCACACATAAGAGCTACTACGCTGTCTGAGGCAGAAAATTTAAGCAAGCTCTGGATAACTCAACATAAAATCTGCAGAGAGCATTTTTAACCAAACTCTGCTGCTTATAGAAAAATGGAGTGCTTGAGGAAGATGATAAAACTAGGAAATTTAATGGGCAAAGCACTGTTTTTTTTTAAACGTTTTTGACAATAAGCCAAATCCATCACTACCTTTTATTCTACAGATGAATTAAGACATCTAGTAATAATACTTGCACAATTAAATGTATCCAGGAGATACAGTCTATTAAATGAGTGGCATGCTTTAATCTGAGCTTTGATTGATGATGAAATAGTGACGGAATAAAGACACTGCTATACACACTACTGTGAAAGCAGCACTGGTGAAACAGATTGTAAAACCATTAAAAGATAATACAGTAATAAAATTGTTGCTTTAACTTAGAATAAACATTTTCTCTACAAGTATACCCAGATTCAGCAATATTACTTAAAACATATGCTTAATTTTAAGGACACGTTCAAGTGTTTTACTAAATAGGGATCACAGAATATTTTATAGAACATTTTGAAATTAGTTACATGTGTAACACTTCACTAGGGAAGTAATATTATTCCCACACTACAGATTATAAGAGTAAATCAGTAGCTCTCAAATTATTTATACTGGGATCCTCTTTCAAAAAAAGTACTTCATAATCCCACTGCTTTACAATTATCTGCAATTAATACAGCAGCAGGAAGGATTTGAGATACTGCTGAAAGGGTCTAGTAACACTGCTTGTGGCTGCAACCTCTAGTTTCAGAAATATTTAGTTAAGTGATTTCACTAAAGTCACAAAAAGGCAGAAATACAATTCCAAACCCCCTGAAACCCAGTCCTAACCTTCAACCTTCCTGTTCTTCTATTCAGGATTTCTGGAAGCCTTGTAAAATTTAATTAGGTTTTACAGCATCTCTGCAAAGCAGTGAAGTAGATTTCCTCCATTTTACTAACTATGAAATGGGCTCAGGGGATATGGGATCAAAAGGAACTTCCTGAGGCCCCACAGGTTGTCATTGGTGGTCACGGTCCCTAGACAAATCTCCTAAATTCTGGCCCCACAGTAAACCTTCTGCATCACTATATGCCCCATTAGAAAAAAGTTTTCTAAGGGCTCCCCAAAAGGTTGACATCTAAGCAGGGGTATATAAGCAGGGATTCAGGTTTTCCGTTTCCCATGGAAAAACGGAGTAAAATGCCGATTCCCCCCTTACCGAAGTAAAACTCAGATCCATGAATTTTGCAGTTTCACAACAAGCCCCCCCACAGGCTGGCAGAGTTCCAGCCTGCAGGGGGCTGGGAGGGTCAGGCAGGGGGCACCATGTACATGTATATGCACATGGCCCCAGGCAGCCTGGAAAGCAGCTCCCGCAAGTAAGCTGGGGGGGGAAGCAGGATTGAGGCCCTCATAGGGAGGGGAGGGAGGGAGGGAGCTGGTCAGGGCAGGGTTAGGGCTACTGCCCAGCCTGGCCGTGTATGGAGCTTCGGGCCCAGGGCCACAATGTGCAGCAACAGGACCCCAGCGGGGAGCAGGATGAGGCCGTGGGCGGGGGCAGCTCCCTGCTTGGGGACAGGGAGGACCTGTGCTCCCCAGATCTGTGTGGGCCAGGGGCGGGCTGCCTGTTGCAGGCTCAGGCTCCTGCTCTGCGGCACTCCCCTGGGGCCTCCACAGCTTGGCGGGCAGGACCCAGCGCTGCAGGGCAGAGTGGAGCCACATAAGAAAGCTACTTGCTGCTGCGAGCCTTGCACTGCCCTGGTGACGTGTCCCCTGCATGCATGGCACCAGCAGGGGCAGCAGTGTGAAGTTGTGAATCTCACTGGTGCCATGCAGGCAGGGGACACATCGCCAGGCCAGCACAGAGCTTGCAGAGGCAAACAGCTTTCCTGTGCAGCCCCCGCTGTTCCCTAAGCTCCAGGTCGCACCTGCTGGGCGGCAGAGGCCCTGGGGGAGGGCAGCAGGGTGGGAGCCCAAACTCCACGAACGGATATGAAGATCATGGATCCCCCTGTCTCCCCCAGGAGTGCACACAGCAGCAGTAAGTCGCCCCCTGCCCAAGCCCGCAGCAGGCAGGCAGCAGGGCAGGGAGCCAGGCTCCACTCCGCTGCAGCAGCACTGCCTCCTGCCAGGGGCAAAGGAATGTGAACCCAGGTCTCTGACCTGCTGGGGCCCTCTCTCTGGCAGGGCTGGGGGTGCAGGGGCTGTGAGAGAGGGAGTGACGGGCACAAGCAGGATTGGGAGGGCTGTAGGAGGCCTTTCGTTTTAAATCACAGGTTTTTGAGTTTTTAATCAGCAAATTTGCAATTTCTTGTCGGGGAAAACCAGGATCCCTACATATAAGTAATTCAGAAATATGTTTATTTTAGACAAATGCAAAAATGAGAAGGTAAGCACAAAACTGAAGTTGGTTAAAACATACTCATCACTTAAAGAGTAATTTTACCTTATCATGTTCATCTATAGAACTCAGAATCACTTGAGCAGCATCCTTGGCAATCTGAAGCTGTGTCTCTGTGACTGAGGCCCCATGGTCCACAATGACAACTATGTGCTTGGACTGGGGTCTGACCGTAGAGACATAGACAGGCCTGAAATGGCAAACACCTATTAGGCACCATAATGATCACTCCTCTTATAATTTCCACAGCAGTTTAAAACTGAGAATATCTAAAGGGGACTGAAAGTGAGTGGGTAGTAGTTGCCTGGCTTCACAAAATACTCAAGCACTAACATAGTGAATTTATGAATAGGATAGCAGGTTTGAAAAGGGCAATACTGTTACGAGGTTCAGAAACAGTGTGAGCAAGTCCCTTCCCCAAAGAGTTTACAAATAATACTTCAAATCCTGCAAGCATTTACTCTCACATTTTTCTCTTGCAGGGAAGTAATTCCATTGAAGTCAATGGGCACAGTCATCTGAATAAAATTAAACACATTGAATAAGGGTTAGGAGGATTGGTGCCTTAATTTGGATGCGATACAAGACAGCAAAGGAAGTGACAGAGGAAGAACAAGGTTGCAATAATATCACACAGTGACTGTTGACGCATGCACTTCCTGAACATTTGCAGCTTGCAATTTAATTTTTATTAATTTTTAAATTTTGTTAATTCCCAGTGGTATGGTTTAAACACCTGCTATAGCATAACCCACTCACAGAAGTTCCTAGAAATTGTAGAATAAGCCTTGCTGCCAACACAGTGCCTAGAATATTTAGATCAAATGCTAAAGATTATGCACCTGAATATACCAGAGGGGCACCCAAATTAAAAAAAAAGGCTTGATCTTTAGAGAAACCGAGCACTCGCAACTCTCGTGGACTCTAATGGGATCTGTGGGTGCTCAGTAACTCTTACTAGAATGCTTCACTGTACATAAAATTGCTTGAGTTCAGAACCCGACTTGGAACATTTGGTTTTAGCCATCATCAGAAATCATTTGTAGGCAGCGAGTAACCCATGTTATGGAAGCATCATTAGTGGCAGTGTTTAGGGTTATTGTGTATACCTGTTATAGCAAACAAAGATCCTGAAAACATTGAGTAGGAGTGACAAGATGCAACTGCCTCATGATGAGCAACCAACACAAAGAATCTTATCCATAGGGAGAGGTAAGTGCAATACTGGGTATTTGCTAGTTACATGACAAGTAAAAACCCGTGGAAGCTGTGTATAATTGCATTAGCACAGTAGGTTTGGTTTATCATTGTGAGACAAAGAATCCTGCCAAGACAGGGTTTTCTATTAATGTAATGGAATGTATTTCACACAGGTCATGCTCCACAAGTCTCTCTTATGTGTGCATTTTAAAACTGAATTGTCAAATATTGTCTAAGCCTGGTAAAGGCATTTTGCGTTTCCACGTGTATATTAGTCAACATCAAAATGTACTTCTCAGCGAAGCAGTGTTTAGAGGTAGTTCAATACTGAGAGGTATGCCCAAAAGATTTAATAAGCTGTCTTTCAAGGTTTTGAAGTTGGAACAAATTAGAAGGATCTTGGGTAAGTCAAAATCAACAGAATCCTGGCTCCTGTTTAGCTGAGACACAAAACTATTATAGTCTGAGCAGAAGTTATTGGACCTATATTTTATTTAAAAAGTCCTACACAAAAGTCTAGTAGGGGTGGAAGAAATGGAGAAGATTTTACACAAGAAACTGAAAGCAAAACAATTTGCAAAGATCAGTTCTTAACTGTAAAACCCCCAGAAGCTTTACACTGGAATTAATACTTGCACTTAAAGAGTACATGTGATCCTCAAAGTACTTAAACACTAACTAATTAATCTACCTAATATGCCCTAGGAGGTAATTACTGGACAAAAAAAATCTAATTTATACACAGAAAAGCCAAGGCAGAGATTAAGTGATCTGCATATCACAAAGGGATTTAGTGTCAGCATGGGGATTAGAGTCCTTTAACACACCTTTTTAAGACTGCAGAATGTTTAAATCGAGCCCAGACTCTGATGAGCATAACATGGGCATAATACACCTACATAAATTAAGTTGCTCAATGTTGACAGGTAACCGAAAAACATTTTTCAAACTTTGTGCCTGTGGACTACATGAAATACAGCTGAATGAATGAGGATGTCCTCCTCCAAGAGATTTACCATCTAGCAGGGTTAGCTAATACAGAAGTAGAAGCAGACAGACCACTGGATTTTCTCAAAAGATGTCACCAGCAGGTGATGCCTCTCCTTAAACAAGGCCAGCAAGAAAAGTTGAACTATATAGGTACTTACATATGCAACCTATATATTAATTAAAACATAAAATTATTAGTAATGGTAGATCTACACTGTAGCACCAGTCAAGATACGCAAGTTAGCTTTAAACTATTTTCCTTGGGTACTAATTACTATGGTGTTACAGCAGCTTGGAGCAAAATCCAAGCTAGACACTTAAGTATTTGCTTGGCTTCTCAGATGGGTTTTACAATAGCTGAGTAGTTTAATCCTAGCTTAGGTAAATCTACATGAGCTACAGCCAGATCTTTCACTACTGTGTAGGCATACTCCTAGGAAATTATGGTCCCCACTCAGGCAAAACTTCCCATTGCTATGAGTGGGGATTCTTTTCCAAGTATGAATCATAAAATCATAGGGCTGGAAGGGACCCCAAAGGATCATCGGGTCCAGCCCCCTGCATAAGCAGGAAAGACATGTGGGGTCAGACAACCCCAGCCAGGTGATTGTCCAGCCTTCTCTTGAAGACCTCTAGGATAGACGATTGCACCACCCCTGTGTGGAGCTTGTTCCATAGTCTAGACATGCTAGTTGTAAAGAAGTTTTTCCTAATGTTCAGCCTCAGACTATCTTCCAGGAGTTTGTGGCCATTGTTTCTAGTTTTCCCCCAAGGCACCCTGGTGAACAGTTGTTCAGAGCCCCTGATGTATGCCTCTGATATAGTGGTAAGCCACAATGAGGTCCCTTCTCAGTGTACTTTTCTTTAGGCTTTAGAGTCCAAGATCCATCAGCCTCTCCTCGTATGGCTTGCCATGAAAATCCCTGATCATACAGGTGGCCCTTCTCTGGACCCTCTCGAGCTTTAGCACATCCTTGCTGAAGTGTGGTGCCCAGAACTGGATGCAATACTTCAGCTGCAGCCACATCAATGTTGAGTAAAATGGCAAAATCACTTCTTTGGATTTACTGGAGATGCATTGATTGATGCATGCCAGAGTTTTATTAGCCCTAGCTAACACTGGACCTCTGGGTCCTCTCAGTTTTCCAACCATCTACTAAGTTTTATCAGCTTGAAACCAGCATTACTAAAGTTTCCTAGTTATTAATGTCTCTCAGGTGAGAATGCCTGTGTGTGATTTCATTTTTATCTTAAAATTCTTCCAAGTGAAATTTCTACCAAAATTTTGATTAACCTCAAAAACCAGAAGTCCTAAAGATCTTTTTATAAACATCTTTGCTTACCTAAACAAATGCTAGATTGGGAACAGCACTTTAGGGTTATCCTTTTAGTTCTCTGTCTATCAAAACAGAAAGAGAAAAATCATACCTGCTGCGGTGCTCATAGCTGCCTTTACACCGGAACTTGTGTGCAGGAAAAACAGTGAAAATACCTTCTTCTGAACTAAAATACTGCCACTTAATTCCAGGGTTAGATTTCAGGTTGTCAGCAAGAACTACAAAACAAAAAGAAAAATGAATGGGATTATAAAGAATAGGCAATACAGGGTATACCTGGCTTATTCGAAAACCTGTATTTGGTTGCACCATAATGAGATTCAATGTTAGCAAGAATATAAAGAAGCATATTAGAAAGTTAATAATGTTTTCTGTGTCCCGGTAATACATTCTTCAATTGAGGATTCGACTTTCATGCGGGAAAATTACCCCACAACTACTACAGAGGGGTTTCTTGCATCTCTTTGAAGCTGCCTTTGGTGCTGGCCACCATTACAGACAGGATACTGGTCCAGAGTCAGACTTGAGTCTAATCTAGCAGAGCAATTCCTAGGTTCCTGGACAGGATTAGTAGTCTGGAAATCACATGCACAGAAGATTCAAGTTCTTGGCTATGCATTCTCCAACTCATAGCAAATGTTCAAGTTCCTTATTTCAGATTTATACACCATTTTAGGAGAGTTTCAAAGTGATCTGGAGCACAAATTCTGATGACTTTTCCACTCCTCAACTCCTTAGGCACTTTTAAAAATCTTCCCTTTAGACAATTTGCAACTTAATAGCTATGCAGTACTAGAGGCTAAACTATACATGAGCAACTAGTAGATGTGGGAAATCTTATACTATACGCCACTACAAATAAAGCAAAGTCCTGAGGTGCAGGGGAAACCTCAACTGTATGATGTTTTGGTGACAAAAAAAGACACCCAATTAGAATTTTCTTGTTATTAGAGAAATTCTTATCATCATATATGCTCCTGATTTAAGTAATCAAATCCAGGCCATTCAACTTAGTTATGTCCTTAGTGACCTTTCAACATTTTTTCTGTAGAGAAGAACAGTTTTTCTTGCCCATTGTTTCATTGCCATGAACTCCTGACTCTATTATACAATGGACTGACATAACAGACTATAACAGTGTCTCTGGCCTACATGGACATTTCCTTGATACCTGCACGTTCACACACAATTAAGAAATTGTTCTTTGATTCATTGTGTCAACACAGCTTTACCTAGAGAAGGTCATGCAGATGTAAAGTATTCTGTTTTTTCTCCACTCAAAACCTTCTTTAAAGTTATCCTTTCCAAAAATCCCAAATATTAGGGTAATACCTTCAGCAGGAAACCAGCTGGAGGGTGAGCCTGAACAGCGAAGAAGAAGGTTCAAGTCTATTATTTATATAAGTTTACACACATTACTTATGCAGTGCGTTCTACTCTTTTAGAAAAGATCCCTTTATTGTACTCAGTGGCCACTCATGAACATGCTGTAGCATTCTTTACACCCATATAGTCTCAATAAGTAGCTAATAGACCGTCCTTGATGATACTACAACCTGATGTACTCTTATCATTTATTTTATACTTTGTAGGTCCAAAAAATGTATTATATATGCATACATATACACATATAAAGGCAAATGTGGTTCTTTTCTTTCTTATCAGCTTAAACATACCTGGACCTATGAAAGTACATGAAAGGGTGCAAGGAAGTTTTCTAGATCCCTCTTCCCAAATCTCCTGTGTGCAGGAGATGGATATTAGTGGTGGCCCATGCAACCTGCTGACCATAAGGATCACTGCAAGTTTCCAGCTATTACAATGCTATGAGGAACAGATTTGTAGCTTTGCAGCCCTGGACCTCCCAGCGAAGACAGCAAGTTGCCAAAGGAAAACAAGTCATACCTTGTTAAACAGCAATGCAGTGACCACCCTCCCAACATACTATGATGCCAGAACCTCCTACCCTGGTCTGTGGTTTTACCACTACTGTGAGCTTTGACATTTGTGTTCTCAATTTAATTTTTCAAATATAGGGCCTTGTTTTTGCTTCAAATCATAATATTAATGATAATAATTGTACTTGTCACCTTTATAGCCTCTTTTATTAAAAGTCCTCACAAAGCTCTCTGGTACATGGCCATTCTGCTCATTTTACAGATAAAAAGTGAGGAATACAGCAGGTAGATGACTTATCCAAGTCCACGCCAAGAGCCAGCATTAGAGCCTTTTGGGGACTCGATCACCAACCCTACTCCAGTTTCTCAATAAAGTCCACTCATTCCCTAGCCTGCAATCACCACTTCGTTAGGACAGACAGGACTTCAACAAAGTTTCCATTTATGAAGGGAGATTTAAGCTTTAAACTGAAATTTAATCCTGGAAAAGAACCAGCTGCTGGACACTACAGAAAAAGTCATCACGAGACCTGTATGTAACATATACATTTACTCATAATAAATGCCATTAGTGAAACAGCCTTGGCTCAGCAAGAAACACAGATAATCTAGGCAGCCCATGATAGAACTGTTTATAGAAATAAACCATACAGTCATGGGTATTTAATGTTTGATACTAAATTAACATTACTGGGCAGAAAGGACAGGAATCTGTACTTAGCGCACTGAATTCAGGCACTAGATTTAGATTCTCAAGTTCTCGCTACCTGCAGCAGAACACAGGCAAACCAGGAACCCGAAAGAAATGCAACCCCGCGACAGACACAGAAGATTTGGCTTTTGTGCTTTCTAGTCATGTGGAGCTTTCCTGGCTGACAGGTAGTATGTGCACCTCCACTGTTAACAAAGAGACTGACACACAATGAAAGAAGTGACAGACATGAAGCACTATTGCTAGGTTTCTTCTACCGATGACATCAGACAACTGCAGGCCTGTTGACTCTCTTGAGGGAAGAGGAAACCCACTAAACTTACAGGAGAGGGGGGGGACCAGAGTCTCAGACTCCCTGGTGGTCAGGGCACCGGCAGGATTCAATTCTACTTGGGTCAAACTGTCAGCTCCACTTGCCATAAATTGAAAAAAACCAAACAAACCTTCCCTTAGCATTTTGCCCAAATGAAGGAACTTTATCAGCCTAATATGCCTACTATATAAAAATATAATATAATAGAATGCATTATATGCAATGTACATGTGTCTACTATGAACATGAAATGCATTATATATAGTATACAGAAAACACAACACAGACTTCTCTGCCTGTGTGCTTTGATTATTACACTTGAAAGAATTTTTTTTTTTTGGGGGGGGGGGGGGGGGGGGGGGGGGT